GTTACATCACTGCTGGGTGTGTCCCCCACACCAAAACCAAACAAACAAAAACCAAACAAACTTAAAAATGGGGATACCTCCAGAAGTCATGCCCACAACCCGCCCCCCAGCGCCATCTTTACAGCACACAGCCACAGAGAAGAAAGGCTGTGGGGGGCCCTCCACAGCTACCGAGACTGCTCTGGGTCCCGAAGAGAGCCAAGATCACCGGGAAGTCCCAGATGGAGTAGGTGCCGCATCTCGCCTCCTCCAGAGGGAATCCCGGTGACCATGAGCCTCTACAAGCATAGCTCGCTTATGCAGGAACCAGGACTCTTACTCCTAACCGCGCGGCCACTTATGCAGCCATGCAACATCTTCTTAATATAAAGTGGTCAATGGAAAGTAAATTCTCCAATGTTTCTCCCTGAAAATCAGGCTTAACTCTTTTACAAACCACAACACTGAATAGGAAAGAGAGAACAAAAGGGAATGCCCTGCCACAGAGGCAGGGTGGGATGGGGATGGAATGGGGGGTGGGAGGGTTACTGGGATCCGTGGTGATGGGAAATGGTTACTGGTGGAGGGATGGGTATTCAAAATAAATATATAAATTTAATAAAAAAATAATTTAAAAAAATGGGGATACCCTGGGACTGGAGCGATATCACAGTAGGTAGGGCATATGCCCTATATGTGGCAGACCCGGGTTTGAGTCCCAGAATCCCATATGGTCCCCTGAGCTCCGCCAGAAGTAATTCCTGAGTGCAGAGTCATGAGTAACCCCTGTGCATCGCTGGGTGTGACCCAGAAAGCAAAAAAGAAAATTGGGGATACCCTGATCCAGCAATACCCCTCTGAGGCATTAATCCCAAAGCTATGGAAACAGTAACTTAAAGGACAGTTACACCCTTATATTCAGAGTAGCATTAGTCACAATAGCAAAGACAAGGAACCAACCAAAATACCCAACAATGGATGGCTGGATAAAGAAACGGTGATCTGTACATTCCATAGATTGTATACCCTGCCATGTTAAAAGATGAATTGGTCCATTTGATGGAATGTGGAAGGATGTTGAGATGGTGATGCGGAGTGAAATCAGTCTGTAAGTGAAGGACAATTGCTGGGAAGGTTTCTACCATGTAGAATATACATCACAAAAGCAAATAAATCAGCAAACCGCAGAACACAACCCCTAGGCTCTGAAAACTTTGGGGGCTCCCAGACTGCAAAGGGAGTGATGGGAGAATGAGCCAAAGTGTTCTTTCTCATGTTGGGAGGGCACTGGAAATGGAGGGGTTGAGGGTAGTGAGTTCTAGACACACATAGGTGCCCCGGGAATCTCAAAGAATTGTTAAAACAATGATAGATCAATAAGTAAAATAGAAAAAATATCCTCACCACTTTCCTCTTCTACCTTTATCTGATGCTAGATTTCAGAAAACACATTTAAAAAAATAGGGGCCACGTCTGGCAGTGCTGGGGGCGGGGATCAGGGAGCAGCAGGGTCAGAAAAGCCACAGGAGGCCAAGCCACTCAGGGGAATGCACGCAGGGCCTCGCCCACGCAAGGCATGTACTTTAGCCACCGTGCAGGCCCCAACAAATACGACTGCAAGAAGAAAAAGGTTTGCAAGGTTTCTCTCCGCCTCGCCCATGAAGGCCTGGGATTAACCAGTTGGGACTGTCATGCTATGACCCAGCCGGCATGGTGGGATGGGGGGGATGGGGGGTGGGAGGGATACTGGGATCCGTGGTGGTGGGAAATGGGCACTGGTGGAGGGATGGGTATTTGATCATTGTATAATTGAAACCCAAGCACAAAAATTTGTAAGTCTACAACTGTACCTCATGATGTCTCACTAATAAAAAAAATTTTTAAAAATGCTTTTTTAAAAAGAAAAAAAAATGGGGAAGCAGTGGTGAATGAGCAGTTCATTAAAAAAAATAAGTCACATGAAGGAGATCAGTAAGCACTATCAAAGACACAATCTAGGCAAGAGGGGGAACCAATTTTGAGAGGCAGCAAAGGTCTCTCTGAGACACTGAAACCAAGATGGTGAAGAAGGCCCTTGTTGTGCATACTTCCCGGGGAAGGGCAGTGAAGAAGTGGAAAGACTCTGCCTGTCTGAAGAGTGTGGAAAAGGCAGCGTGCTTACTTATGGCTTTCGAGCTGTGGGGCACTTTGAGGCTGTGATGCCAACTTTGTGATTTTTGTGGATCAGGGAGTTAGAAGGTTTCTAAGTATTCCTTAAAAAGCCTTTCTGGGCCTGTAGCAATAGTAGAGCAGAGAAGGCGTTTGCCTTGCATGTGGCCAACATAGGTTGGATCACCCATATCCCATAGGGTCCCCTGAGCACCACCAGGAGTGATTCCTGAGTGCAGAGACAGGAGGAACCCCTGAGAAACACAGGGTGTGACCTCAAAAAGGAAATAATAATAATAATAATTAATAAATAACACCTTCTGGTTTGGTTACATATATGTGTGTATACTTGATCACTGTGTATTAAGTTGCTTCTGGCCATGGGTGGTAGGAAGATCTGTGTAGAGCCAGGAGAGTAACAGAGGCCTCGCACTACGGACTATTGTAAAGAACTAGGGTTTTCATTCTAAGTGCTGTGAGAAGGTACGGAAGCATTTCAGGCTGGGCAGTGACACAATCTAATTTGATAAGATAATCTGATAAGATAGCATTGCCAAAAGATTCTAATTGTGAAATTCAGAACACCTGAGCACCAGCTCGCAATGATTCCAAGCAAATCACTGACTCTTTCCAAACCAATGTCTCTCAATGTTTTTCCAGCCATGGCTCCTTGCTGATCTTATTTCCTTCCTGTGGCACCCCAACCTATCAGTTGTCCCCCAAATCTCATGCCTTGCACAATCTTCCCCCTCCTCCCAGTTTACAAAGATTTTCATCTGTGCTCCCCTTGGCATATCCTGGAAGCTCACAGGAGAGCCATATGGTGGCTGGTTGGGAAACTACTCTAGAATTTACGTTCTTTTACTATTATTTAATCACCGTGAAATACAGTTACAAAGCTTTCATGATTGTGTTTTAGCCATACAATGATTGAACACCCATCTCTCCATCAGGGTGCATTTTCCACCACTAATGTCTCCAGTGTTCCTCCCGCCACCCCCACCTCTTCCCACCCCCTGCCTCTGTGGCAGACAATTTTCTTCTTTCTCTCTACTTTGGGGCCTTATGGTTTGCAATACAGATACCGAGAGGTCATCATGTTGGGTCCTTTAGAATTTACTTTCTTCATTTTCAGAGGCAGAGGGCTGGACCAAGAAGATCCTTAATATCTTAGTTAGGACATTTCTAATTACTGGAACTGTGTATAAAGTGACATTCATTAAATTATTTGCTTTGATTTTATGTGCTTGAAAATATAAAAAACAAATCGTCCCAAGACAATACTTTTGAAGGGCTGTGTTTTTCTGTGTGTTTTGGTTTGGGGCCACACATGGCTTGGAACTCAAGAATCACTCCTGGCAGGCTCAGGGTGCGAGGGATCTAATCTGGGCCAGATGCCTACAAGTCAAGTGCCTTACCTGCTATATTACCTCTCTAACCTCCCAAAATACAACCGTTTTTTAAAGAGAGAGAAAAAAAGTTGTTACCTAGCGCTAAATTTCTACAAGGACATTCTGCTTCCTACCCTGAGCAAAAGTAAGTTACTGGGTCAAGTTCTGCATTATTTAAAACATTACAAATCATATAGCTATGTGTTACATTTCTAGAGAAAGTAACTTCGAGGGAGATACTTTTGCTGGAACCAGCTGGAATTAGAAACAAGATCTCTGCTAAAAGTCAATCAAGTTCATTGCAAGACTACAACCCAATTATGAACAGCTTTGTAATGATCTATTTCACGAATATCCAATTAAAAAAGTTTTTAAATGTGGAGTTTATGCCCAGTTCAATCAGCTTAACCAATGGCTGAATAAACAGCACTACTCCTACATTTAAAACATAGTCAATCAAGTGCTTTTGCAACTCTTTGTTACAAAGTTTGGGAAGTGAAGGAAACACACAGAGGGGGATAAAAAGATTTACTGATCAGGTTATTTGAAACAGACTTCCTTACTGGTCATCAACTGACATATAATCTACAGCAGTCTAAAATTGCAGACAACCTCTGCTTAGCCCTTAAGAGAGGAAGTTTCATTTCATTTACAAAAACAAAATTAAAGCAAAATACTCAGTGAGAGTTACTAGATATTAACACAATCCTAGGCAGCTTGATATAGACTGCTTCATTTAGTGCTCAGAACCTAACATTCATGTTTCACAGCTAGGTAACAGGGGCTCAGGAAAGAAAGAGCAAACTAATTAAGAACAGGGCCAGCATTAGAGTAGTTGTTGCATTATTTATAAAAATCATCCTGCATATTTTGAATAATTACATACAGGGATGGAATCATCATTTAAACACCAGAAAAGTCAACTATCGGTGCTATTGGAACCAAGAAGGCTTGAGCAAATCAATTCTGGATTCAACAGCTACTTTGCCAGGTAGTTTGGGATGAAGGGTAAGAAGTTGTTTCAGAATGGGAGGGCCAGCTCTGAGGGTAGCATGCTGAGCTGTGCCAAGTGGAATAAGGCAAAACATGCAAAGAATTTAGATCCCCCTGTAAGCCACTTTAACAGTATTATAGCAGATTCCAGGTTCATTTTCTCAACGATTTTGGTGAAAGGTCAGCAGAGGAAGATGGACTGGAGAGATGTCAACCTGTGCAAGGGGCCTAACAAGGACTCTACAAGTGCCATAAAACCATCATCCTGTATGTAACTCAGAATTCCAACTTAAGTTAACCCTCTAAAGGGAGAAAGGAATTGCACACCGCACAATTGCAGAGGTGGGTGCGGAGAGAAAACCTTGGAAAGGTGCAGGGCATTATCGCTGAAAGGGTCGAAATGACCCCCAATGCCTCCCGCAAACACTCCAGCAAAGTTGTGGCCGCCCACGGCACCCCTAGCCCAACACCGAGAATGTCAGCACCCACCTGCCACAAACTCAGCTTCGAACCTCTGCCGGGTCTCAGAAATAAGTTTGGCTTTATTCTGGGCGTTATTCTGGAAGAGAGACAGAAACGTATCCTTAAGCACAAGCATCCCGCAGCCCACCCGGCCGCCCCGCACAGGACGCGAGCCCCCCGGGCGGCAGAGTCGTGGGCAGGTGAGGGCAGCAGTGTGATCAGCTGCTCACCTCGGCCATGGTCACAGACGTGGATGTGATTGTAGTTACCGCGGCCACTTCCCTGGCTGCCTCCGGAATCTCACATCACCGCTCGGGCCCGCCAGGAGGAAAAGAGGGAAGGGCGGGAGGGGGAGGTGGTCGCGTGACACCGGAAGGCGTGAGGAAGCGTCGCCCCCTCGCCCAATCGGAGGCAACGGCGGTGCCTCGGAGGCGGGAGCAGAACCTCCTCCAGGCTTTCTATTGGATCCTGCTCAGGGCCCCGCCCCGCGACGTCCGGCACTGCGGGCCCGCCCCCTCCAGCTGCCGGCTTGCAGGCCGGTACCCGGCCCAGCCGCCTATCAGCTTTCACAACCTTGTCGAGGCTCCGCCTTAGCCGCAGCCGCCCCGGGGCCCCGCCTCCCTTTGGGCTCCGCCTCCTGCGAGCTCCGGACTCGCTCGGCTCCCAGGATCCCGCGCGCCGGCGGGAGGTTTGGAGCCGTGGGAAGCGGCCGCCGCGTGGGGCGCCGGGAACTGGGGCGGCTCGGAGAGGTAGGGCCGGCGGGGAGCGAGCGGCCGGGCCGGGTTGGCGACTCTGGCCGCCCTGCTGCCTGGGAGCGGGAAGGAAGGAAGGAAGCCGGTGGGCCATGACCCTCTTGGGTCATTAGTCCCCAGGGAACCTTCATTAGCCCGAAAGCGGCTTGACAGCTGGAGTCTTTGCAGCCGTCGAAGTAACTGCATAAAGTTGGTGAAGTGGAAGATGAGAAGCATCTTAGTGTGACTGATGATGATTCATTCTGGGGGAGCGCGGGGTCGGGGAGTTTACTCTTCCCGGAAACATCTAGGGATGTTTGGGGGTGACACACGTGGGACTGAGGGGGGAGGGCGCTCCTGTCCCGCAATGGGGCGGGGCCAAGGCAGCCACTGAACTTCCCGCAGTGCTCTGGATGGGCCCGTTCGCACAGCTGATGAGTGCTGGGGATGGGGCGCAGACCTTGACCGGAGATGGTTTCGCCCGTTTCACGGTGAGAACTGCAAACCCCAAAGATGTTGGAAGAGCAAACTGTTTCCCGCCGTGCCTGGTTATTGACCCTTCTGTAGCGTTGTTTTCAAATTTATGGTTAGGGGCCAGAGCGATCTCACAGAGGGTAGGGCGTTTGCTTGGCACGCAGCCGACCCAGGTTCAATTCCCAGCATCCCATATGGTCCCCCGGGCACCGCCAGGAGTAATTCCTGAGTGCATGAGCCAGGAGTAACCGCTGGGTATCGCCGGGTGTGAAAAAAGCAAAGAAACCCAAAACAACATTTATGGTTACTTTGGGGGAGGGGGTCCCCACAAGTGCCCAGGAAGCCCAGCGCCCCATACAGAGATCCAGTGCAAGGTTTTTATGATGTAATGCTGCAGGCGACGCAGAGCCTGGGGGTTGCCAGGGAGTAGAACCAGAGTCAGCCCCACACTAGGCCTGTGCCTTGGCTGTCAGTCCAACCCTTGAGTACAGAAGTTGTAAAAGAGCCATTAACGCCTTGTTTAAGAATTATTTGCAGAGATCCATAAAGTAACCTTTCAGATACACTTTCCTGCATTTAAGACTATCTCGCATGGTCAGCAGTCATTCTGAATTTGGCTTGGGTCTTTACAGCTTTGCTTGCCTGAGTTTGAATCCGGCTTCTGTCACTTCCTCTGTAAGTCTTTAAAAGACCCTCCTGTGCTTGCTTCCAGATACTGTGTCCCCAGGTACTGTGAAATATAATTCTCTCATCTCCTGCCTCACTCCACTTGCACTGTCATTAGCTTCTTTATAATTCAGAACTTGAGTGCTGTGATTCTGTTTTGAAGTCTTTCAGAGGTTTTCCTTAGAGAAAATTAGAAGTATGACATAAACATAGAAAACCTCTTGGGGGGGGGGGTCACACGTGGCATGATCAGGGCCTACTCCTGGCTCTGTGTTCAGGGATCACTCACGGTGGTGCTTGGTGTGGGTGGGGTGGGTACCCAGGATCAAAACCCATCCGCCCTGTGCTGCAAGCGCCCTCCCACCTCTGCTATCTCTCTGGTCGCTTAGATGCATTTTTTTAAATATTTATTAGTGAAACACCATGAGGTACTGTTGTAGACTTACAAATTTTTGTGCTTGGGTTTCAGTTATACAATGATCGAGTACCCATCCCTCCACCAGTGCAGGAGGTTTACTCCATGGCTTGGAGGCCAGCCGCACACTCTAGGGGTAAAGGCAGCTCAGATAGAGAAGGGAGCACCAAATAAAGGGTGTTGGGAAGATACACCCAGGATGGAAGATGCATGCTGAAAGTAAACTATAGACCGAACATGATTGCCACTCAAGGCCTTTTCTGTAAACAACAGCTCCCAAAAGGATAGATGCAAATTTTTAGTTGAATTTCTTGATGTGCCTTTTCCTTAATGATACTTTCCCTTGGTCACAATTCGTAGTTTCATTTTTAGGTTTCATTTGCAGATCATATACTGTTCTTGGGGCTGGAGCAATAGCACAGTGGGTAGGGTGTTTGCCTTGCATGGGGCTGACCTGGATTTGATTCCCAGCATCCCATATGGTCCTCCAAGCTCCACCAGGATTAATTTCTGAGTGCATGAGCCAGGAGTAACCCCTGTGCAATGCCGGGTAGGACCCAAAAAGCAAAAAATATGTATATATGGTGTTCTTTTCAGATCTTCCTGAATCAGACCAATAGTTTAAAGAGTTCTAAAGTTTATAATGCCGAAATGAATTGATTAGCATTTGAAAGGAACACTTGATTTGGTTGGAGGAGAATAGAGTGGGTAAGGATATAATTTATGATCAACCTACCCTATTACATTAGCATGTTATTGTTTTTCTTGTATATGCAAACATCTGTTTTTATTTTATGTGTAAAATTCATAGTGTCAACTTTGGTTTTTTTCCTTTTTTTAAATTTTATTATTTTTTTAAATTTTTATTAGTGAGACACCATGAGGTACAGTTGTAGACTTAAAATTTTTGTGCTTGGGTTTCGATTATACAATGATCAAATACCCATCCCTCCACCAGTGCCCATTTCCCACCACCACGGATCTTGGTATCCCTCCCACCCCCGATCCCACCCTGCCTCTGTGGCAGGGCATTCACTTATGTTCTCTCTCTCCTTTTGGGTGTTGTGGTTTGCAAAAGAGGCATTGAGTGGCAATCATGTTTGGTCTAGAGTCTACTTTCAGCATACCTCTCCCATCCTGGGAGGATCCTCCCAACACCCTTTATTTGGTGCTCCCTTCGCTATCTGAGCTGCCTTTTCCCCTAGTGTGTGTGGCTGGCTTCCAAGCCATGGAGTAAACCTTCTGCTACTTATCTGGCTATTCTTGGGTGTTAGTCGCCTATTTTGTTACTTTATGTTCCCCAGATGAATGCAGTCTTTCTATGTCTATCCCTCTCTTTCTGACTCATTTCGCTTAACATGATACTTTCCATGTAGTACCACTTGTATGTAAATTTCATGACTTCATCTTTTCTAACAGCTACATAGTACTCCTTTGTGTAGATGTACCAAAGTTTCTTTAACCAGTCATCTGTTCTCGGGCACTCAGGTTTTTTTTTCCAGATTCTGCCTATTGTAAACAGTGCTGCAATGAACAAACAAGTGCAGATGTCACTTCGACTATACTTTTTTGCCTCTCTGGGATATATTCCCAGGAGTGATATTGCTGGGTCAAATGGGTACTTGGTTTTTTAAAAAGTAAAGCAAACATTTATTTGAAAAGTTAGAAGAGGCAAGTAAAGGAAGCTAGCACTCAGCAGGGATAAATAACATCTGAAGATGAGGGAAAAAAAGACACGTCTGCAGGGGTGAGGAGTGGGGTTCCAAATAGGGAACACCCTATAGGATCAACATTGCTGTATGGTAGTATAGAAAAGAGAAATCTCGAATTAAATAATCTACTTCCCTTTCCTCCCCATCCCCCACCCCAACTGAAACAGGAGGTAAAACTGAAATGATTTTCTTCTGTAACCACTATTGTAATTTAGTACAAAAGTCAAATGACTGATAGATTAAAATGTTGACCTAATAATGATTATTGGATCAATTATTTGATTAATCAGGGCTTATTTGTATTACATTTAGAACCTCTAAATTGAACTTTAGTTTGATTTCTTTCCTAATATATAGTCCTTTCTTTAAAAAATATCAGAAGGGCCAGAGAGAGAAAAAAAAGATAAGGCAGTTGCCTTGTATGTGGCTGACTCATACACTAGCACTGCATATGGTCCTCGAAGCAGAGAGCCGAGAATAACAGCATAACCCCTGAGCACTGCAGGAGTGGCCCAAAACCAAAAAGAAAGCAAAGAAGGAAGAAAATTACCACTTATTCCAGAGGCTTTAAGGTTTGTTCTATAAACATACGCTAAAAACTTTCAAAGCACATGATAGCATCTGCATAAAATAAGGCAGATAGATACTGACAGGCAAATTTACTAAACCTTGAAATTATATAAAGTTTGGGGAGCTAGTTTCTTTATAAATTAATATGTTAACACCTATTGATGTTAACATATTATCGCTACAAAGATGCTCTGTTTAAAATAAGATGTTAGGGGTCTGGAGCAATAGCACAGCGGGTAGGGCATTTGCCTTGCAGGCGGCCAACCCGGGTTTGATTCCCAGCATCCCATATGATCCCCCAAGCATCGCCAGGAGTAATTCCTGAGTGCGGAGCCAGGAGTATCCCCTGAGCATTGCTAGGTGTGACCCAAAAAAGCCAAAAAAAAAGATGAATATATGCATTGAAAAATGTGTATTTTTGCAATAGTATTTAAAATTTCTAAATGATCTTTCACACAGCAGTTGCTTATGTTTTTAACATGTCTGTGGAAAATTTGAGATGAGGTAACTATTCATACATTTGTTATAATAGAACCAGTGTGTTTCTTTTAAAGCAAAAGATGGTTTCACACATCAAAGCCACACCTTTGATTTACCTGTCTGCTTTACTGATACTCTGAAGCTTCCCTGTGCTACCTGTTGCCCCAGATCTTTGCATTCATTGCCTAACAACACACCTGTAAACCAGAGATTTCTGCTAGTCCAGTTCCTTAAGGTAATAGATTTGATGAAATTCTAAGGAATGGTATCAATTGAATTTCAAGAACAAATTCCATAGTGGAATGTACTGATCCCTTGCTGGATAAGGATTGACTCTTTTTTTTTTTTTGCTTTTTTTGGTCACACCCGGTGATGCACAGGGGTTACTCCTGGCTCTGCACTCAGGAATCACTCCTGGCAGTGCTAGGGGGACCATATGCGATGCTGGAAATCGAACCTGGGTAAGCCGTGTGCACGACAAAAGCCCTCCCAGCTGTACTACTGCTCCAGCCCCAGGACTGACCCTTAAACTGACGAGCTTAAGGCACCAAACACATTATCCCACAGTTTCTGAGTATCTGGAACTAAGTTCTTGCTCAGGATCTTTCAAGGACTTGACTGGAGTTGAAGGACCTGAGCCCGAGATGACGCCCTTACATGTGTTTTGAGTCCTTTAGGTAGCATCCTTGGTTCTTTTTTCTACTTTACTGATTCTCACAGGTTGCCTTTTAACCAGTGCTCCCAGCCACGGGGTGGACAGAAAGCTGAGGACAGCAGGGTGGGTTCAAGTGCAGACTCCAAGCTGGGCATGGCTCAGTAGGAGAGCAGATTCTGACATTTAGGAGACCCCGGATTCCATCTCTGGCACAAATAAAAAGAGGGAAGGGAGACTTTTGTCTGTTTGGGGGCCAGTCTCAGTGATGACTCCCTTTTAGAGGAGGAGGGTTGCTCCCAGTCGTGCTTGGGGGAGTCATGTGATGCTGGAGATTAGTCCTAGGGTTTCCACATGCGAAGCATGCACACTTGCCCTTTGAGACATCGCCCCAGCCTTGGTGCTCTTAATGGATTATATTTGGTATCCTTTGTGATGTGGTCATTTGCACTCTTTGAAAACTATCTTTCCAATAATTCTTTTTATTTTATTGATATATTGGTTTACATATTGTAGAATTCGGGGGTGAACTTCATACCACTCTCTGTGGTTCATTCTTGCAGACTCACCACCAAAATTCCAGTGCCATCCCACCACCAACAAAACCCCATCATCTTCCTTCCCTTTTCCTCTGCTGACCATTTTCGTTTTCAGAATCCAAGAGTTACTTTTCTGCTAATGCATTTGCTTTGGTTATAGGCCACAAATGGGTGAAATGCATAGTTGACACCTGTTGATGGTTATTTAACTGAAGCACGGGTATGCTTTTCAGCTCTCCCAACTTGACATTCTTTTCTCTTTTCAGCTTTTGGTTTAAAAGCATCCTGTGAAATCTCTTCACATTCAAAAGTCAGACTAACATCAGAACTTGGTATTGAGGAAAGACTAGCAAATGAACAATGACATCAAACAAAGAATGGCTTTTGTGTCATAATGGGGACGTCCTTGGTTTTCGATTGTCTAAAGGACATTTTGCAGATAAAGGACCTGCAGAACCACCCATGTTACATGCTAGAAGAATGGAATTTGATAGAGAAAAAGGAACATTTGTTCAGAAGTCCACTGGATTCTTTCGAATACAGGAAGGAAAGTGTCCTTTAAAAATCATGTCTTGCAACTGTGTGTCAGATTGCAGAACTGGAATTAAACTCCCATGTGTTATGATACAAGGCACTAAACAGTGTAATGTTTTCACATACTTTCTACTAATTTTTCATAGTACCAGTCAATTTGAAAAACGGTTGCATTTAAGACTCAACTACCAGTTACATGAATTCAGAGTTCTTAATGGCCCTGTGCTTTTATGGAAACATGTCAAAACTTTCTACTGGCTTTCTTCTAAAACTGACGAAGCTGTTGCTGTGCCCATCAAGCTTTCAAGTATTGACTGGGCAGGGGAGATTCAAAATCTGGGTATGACTTTATTAGGAATAAAGGAATATTCCTCTCGGGATGAAGTATTTGCCAAAACGACTTCAGAATTAGATTTTGCAATTCAGAATACCAAATTTTGCCTCTTTTCTCTCGAAAGCCAGGAGAAGTTAAGCGAATCATACATTATCCCTGCTGGTTATACCAGCTCAATAACCTCTGTGCATGTCTGTTCAACTGAGTTTGTCAACAACCAGTTAAGATTGTCTCTGATCGTCCTTACGAGAAAGAATCAACTGATTTCATTCCAAAACGGAGCTCCTCAAGGTGTTTGCCAGCTTCCGTTTGAAGAACCTTGTGCGGTTCAACTTATGGATGGAGGAGAAGACCTCCTTTACCTGGTATCCTTTAAGTCTAATAAAGCATGTGCTGTTTGGAATAAAAACTTTCAGGTATGGTACTTATTGTTATAATCATTCCATTGATTTAGATCTATTAAGTGTCACTCCGTAGAATTCATCCCATAGTATTGTTATCTAAATGCACTTTTATTCTTATTTATTGTTTGTGGGGGTACCCCTGGCTCTGCACTCAGAGATAAGAACTGGTAGTGCTTAGGAGATCATATGTGGTAGTGGGGATCGAACTCGGATTCTGCGTGCAAGGCATCAACCTTGGTACTGTCCAGGCCTCAGTCTACACTTGTTTTTATGGACAAGAAACTAAGATGTTTTGTGCCTTGACTTTTTGGGTCATAAAATCTTTGAGTTGTTTGGAAGTATGTAAATATATAACTGAATGGTATGTATTTGTTATGGAATATGTCTATTTCTGATTTTCATTGAGCTCTATTTGACATTTCACTTGTGTAATTAGTGGATATTTTTTCAAATGTCGCAGAATGATCAGTCCAATAAATCCAGGTAACATTTATTATCATCGTTAATTGGGATCAAACCCAGTCCTCTGCAGGTGCTTTTGGGCTACCTCTAAAACCCACAATTTTTTCTTGGCTTTTGGACTACCTCGCAATGCTCAGGGTTTCCTTCTAGCTCTGCACTCAGGGATCACTCCTTGCAGTGCCCAGGGGACCAAATGGGATCCTTGGTATCAAACCTGGGTCACTTATCTACAAGACAAGTGCCTTACCTCCCACCCTGTCTTTTCAGCCCAACCACAATATTGTGAGAACTTCTTAAATATCTAACTCTCTTAGCAACAATTTCTAATTGGTACGAATGTGTTAATAATTAGCTATGTCTTTGCAATTAGAATGATTGTTATGATTTGACTTGATTTCACAAGGCTTTCTTTAAAAAAACCCACATATTAGTTGTTCACATCTTTAAAAGTTGGTGATTTGTTGAAACCTAAAATGAAATTTAGAGAATTTGCTTAAAATATGTTGCATATGTATATAATTGTTCCTTTATAGAAAAATAGTTGCTGTTGCTCAGAGAATTTGATGATGTCATATTTTGGAATTCTGAGTTGTCCATTGAGTAATTTTATCTACATATTTTATCTACATATGATTTTGTCTTTTAGCATAAGGTTTGGAAGTTGCTTTAAAATACTGGTGCTGAGCATTCGTTAACAGGTGAAAAGCACAGAAAATGAATAGGAAATTGAGGAGTATAATTGGTTGTCTTCACTGATACTTCTCTGACTGATTTTTTTGGTGGCATTGCATCCTTACAGCTTAATATCATCACCTGGTTTAGTCATGTTATCTGAAGTGTTTATGATGTCTCTTACATGTGGATTTTTAAGTATATTTAACTTTTTCCGTTCTTGTACTGCTTGGGTAAAGAAAGCAGGCGCTGTCTTGTTTTCTGTGTGTTCCAGCCGTTTAATTTGAAATTCCATGAAAATTTTCGTCACCATATTGTCAACTTCATGTAGTGCATACCGATTTGGGGAAATGTGTTGGAAAGCCCAAGAGGCATTTTTTTTATGCCAGTCATGATAATCTTGTATGTGTATTTGTCAGGTTGAAATTGCATTTTATCGGGTTTCATCTTATGAATTACCTTTATGTTTACAAGGATTATGTAACCATATTCAACATCTGTTAATACATAGATGACTAAAATTATCAAAAGGAAAAGAATTAGAAAGAAAGGCTTATTTTCAAAGCAGTCCTTTCAAAGTACACTGTACTTTTATTTGAAGCTTATAGGGAATGTATATTTTCTGTCTCTTTATACTCTCAAAAAATGGGGGGAGGGGACAACTAGACCAGCTTACAAACCCTACTTGGGTAAGGGCAATGGAAAGGATTCATTGAGCATGGGTTTGAGTCCCAGCTGAGCCGCTTACTAGTGTTGCTGTAAGGAATATACTACATTTCTGGGAACTCTCTGGCCATTGTGATGTAATTGGGGCCATCCTGCTTCTGAGAGGAAAGATGATAAGCAGGTGACATTATAAAGTGTGTATGAGGCTGGTCCAGAGCAGAAGCTCAGTGAGTAGGAGCCATTGGATGAGGCCAGGGCCAGTGATGTCATCAGTAGTTTACACCTGCTCAAGCACCTTTCCTCAACTGGGATAAGGAAAAGCATCCCCCACTGGCTGGCCTCTGCTTGGTTTCCTCTGCCACCAGTACCTCCCAGAGCGGGAAACTGGACAGTCTCCACAAGGAGCAGGCCTGTAGCAGTTGGTTTATCTGCCTTCTATAACTTTCTCTGTAATGGACCATCTTTTCTTCCCAGAAGTTAGCTAAGTCCCTTAACGTGCCTTATCAGGGATTCTGCACTAAGCTCTTCGCAAGTGCCTTGTATTGAAAGCCTGGCCTTAACACTCTGGTGTCTACAAATAAGTTTTCTCATAGCCACCTGGCTGCCCGGAATTTCACAGCTCTAGCCTCTGTGTTGGTGTTGCATTTGCACTCACCTTGCCAAAAATTGAGACGCAGCTCAACAGCAGAGCACTTGCCTTGCCTGTGTGAGGCTCTGGGTTCAATCCCTGGAACTACCCAAAACAAAAGTTAGGTGTAGTAAAATATTTGACTGCTTTTAAAATCAGCATAAAGGCTAAGGATGTACAAGTAAAGGAACCAGGCAGATAACTGTTTCTGGAAGCTTGGATTTTGAACAGTAATGCTCATTTGAACAATTGCATTTGCACTTGAATAGTTACACTCAGATTAGCAGTGAGGAAAAATTTTAAGACAAATTAAATACATCATTTTTTTTCTTTTTGGGTCACACCTGGTGACGCACAGGGGTTACTCCTGGCTCTGCACTCAGGAATCACCCCTGGCAGTGCTCAGGGGACCATATGGGATGCTGGGAATCGAACCTGGGTTGGCCGTGTGCAAGGCAAACACCCTACACGCTGTGCTATTGCTCCAGCCCCCATCATTTTTTATAATGCAGTGAAACATGTTTAACTGAGAACACATTTTTGTCACACTAACAAAATGCATACTGAAGTATAAGAATATGAATATGTTTTGCCCCCAAAATGGAGGAAACCATGGAGCAGGCTTCCTGTAGGTTGGCTGTGGGTCCTTCCATACTTTGGGGAAGGCCTGGCATGAAACCCAGGGCTTCATACATGGCAAATACATCCTCTACCAGTGAGCCGCACCTCCAGCTATCCGTTCAATTTTTTTTACTACCTCATTCCATAGAGAATTAGGCAGCTCACGAGAAAGTAAGGAAGGAAAATCAGGATTGGTGAGTTCTCAGCTCAGCCCTTCATAAATGCACCAGATATAGGGTGGAAACTCACATTTAGAGAAACACAGGAGTTTTTCTCTTTGCTTTTCTCTCTCCAGTCTTTGCCAGTTTTATTGAGATATCATTGGCATATGGCACTGTATAAGTTTGAAGTGAACAGCAGCATGATGTGAATTATTATTGTGAAATGATTATCCCAAGAAGTTAGCCCATAGCATCTCATAGACAAAAAAAAGGAAGCAGAGTTCTTTTCCTAATGGTGAGCTCGGATTCTCGATTTATAGGATTAATTCTCTGCCAATTTTTGAATGTATCAAAGAGCAGTGAATTCATGCTCATGTACGTTCCATTCCCAGTTCTTATTTGTCTTCTAACCAGAAGCTTGTATTTTAAAACTCCTTTCCTTTAGTCCCTTCCACCTCAGGCAAGCACAAATCTGAAACCTCTTTTTTTTTTCTTCCAGTTAAGTTCTAGGTTTTCTCTTGTGAGTGAAAATTGACTCTGCGAGTTTTGGCTATCAGTGTGATAGGCGTTTCAAAATGAGACCATTGTCTCATATTTGAAAAAGGATGGTGCTGTGTGGTAGACAGAAATGAATGGGCCAGAGAAATCACGCTGACGCCACGGCACTCACCTTGTATGCTGCCAATTCTGGTTCAGTTCCTCACGCCACATATGGTCCTGTGATCATTGCCAGGAGTAAGCCCTGAGTGCAGTAGGCACTAGCCCAGAAACAAAAAAATAACAACAACAAAAACCCCTCTGTATTCTGGAAGTGTGTGATTTAATCCAATAATCATTAGTCAAATGTGTTTGTTCCACATTTGAATTATACGTAGGGAGAATTCGAATATTCTATAAATTTCAAATGCATAGCAGATTTCAGAGACTGTGACAAATGAAACTAAAATGGATTATTAATCCTTTCTATGGGTTGTATTGAATTGTAATGATAGCATTTTCTTAATTAAAGAAGTGTGATTTACAAAGTTATTGATAGTTGACTTTTAGGCATATAATATTTAAACTGAGATTTTAGCAGCCTCTCCTTACTCAAATCTTAGGGCTGGGGCTAATGGAGACGTTACTGGAGCCCACTTGAGTAAATTGATGAACAAGGGGACGACAGTGATACAGTGAATATTTAAACACCAATCCCACCCAGTGTCAGCTTCTCACCTCCAGTGTTCCCACATTCCCTACCCACCTGTACCCCCACCCTGTCTCCGCCTTTCACCTTGACAGGCAAATCACAGTGTTTCCATGGCTGCAGCTTAAATCTCATGTTTTCAGTGTTGCTGAGTCTGTGTGTTGTATAGGTGGCTGTACCATTCACCCATATCACTGGGATAACTGAAGCCCTCATACCTGTTCGCCCATTACTTCCTGTTTCCTTCTTCCCCTCTTGATTTCTTTCCGTCTCTGTCCTCCCTAAATACTGGGGTCAAGAGTGATCTGGGCATCCCCCTTTTTCTACAGTACATTTCGTCATCCAGTATTCTGTGTTCCACAGATAAGGGCGATCCCCCTGTGTTTGTCTTTCTTCTTCTGGCTGGCTTCACTCAACACAGTATCTTCCAGTTCCACCCACATCGCGGCAAGTTGCATGATGAAATGATAGCATTTTAGAGATGGTAAATTTTATATTGTGTCTGATCACTGGTATTTAACATGTAAGATGCAGTCGGATGCAGTTTCACCTCTCTCTCTTCACTGATGCTAGAGATTTCTCATATTGGATACTGGAAAAATTCACATTATACAAGCGCCTCGCCTTTGTGGCTCACCTATAAGTCTTTCAGACAGTACGGTTCTAGAACTCTAGACTGCAAATGTGTGTAGCCCTGCACGAGCGCACAGCTCCCTGGTGTTTGCATGAGGAGCACATTCTTACTACTGATGTCTCTTCACACAGTTCATTATTCTTCGTGGTCCTCCCGGCAGTGTGGTGGGAACAGAGGCAGAACAAATTAGCTTCTACACCATGCGAGGGGGCGATCACTCCTTTGGAAATTAGCTTTATAGGCGGGAGGCTGATGTTTTAAGAAATGCAAGCCACCCTCCTGTATCATTTAAAGAAGTGTGTTCCAAAGTGGTGATATCACCACTGGTGAGGGTACAGGTGGGGGCAGTAATAGCCTCGGAGGGCACTTTTTCTTTGTTCACATAAAGAGATAGATTTCCAAGGGAGTGCTGAATCTCTCTCTCCATCTCCCTCTCCCTCTCCCCCGCCACCAATCAGTTTGTCACCTCTGTTTTAGGTGATGTGTCTGTGTGCCAGGAATTCCAAGTGGGCATTTGACCTTTTCTGCCAGAGGGAAAAATATCCAATTCCCAGGGTGTTAGTTTCCTAGGGGACCAATCTTAAGGTTTGGAGCTTTATGAGGTTTTAAGTCATTATTTTCTAATTTAAGTTGAGGGTCTCACATTCTAGAATAAACTAATCAAAATGTTCCATTAGCCTGAGACGGTTCTTATGACCTCGTAAGTCATGCCTTCGAGTTATATAATGCAATGGAATTAATTCCTTGTATAATTGGTCTGATCACAGATTCATACCTCTAAGACTTAGGAGAGTGGCAATCATTCTGAAATTCATCGTATTAGAGAGTCCTCACTAGACTTACTCATGAGACATGTAAGAATCTCCAAAGTGTTTAGTCATGAAAAGTGTTTGAATTAATAAATTATAATCGTCTTTAATATAGAAATCATTCATGCGACATTCCCTGGATATTGATAACTTAGTAAATCTAACTACCTTTCTGTTTATAAAGTACTTGTGGCTCTATTTTAATACTACCGTTTGAATGCTATTTAGTACTGAGCAATATTATTTTAATAGTATTTAGTTCTATTTAATATTATCTTTTTTTTTTTTTTTTGCTTTTTGGGTCACACCCGACGATGCTCAGGGGTTACTCCTGGCTCATGCACTCAGGAATTACTCCTGACGGTGCTCAGGGGACCATATGGGATGCTGGGAATTGAACCTGGGTCGGCCATGTTGGCTGCATGCAAGGCAAACGCCCTACCCGCTGTGCTATCACTCCAGCCCCTTAATATTATCTTAAAACTGCTTTTCTTTAGGTTGCTGCTCAGTGGGAAAATGTGGACTCTGTACTAATCGATGACTTCATTGGAACTGGATCTGAACAAGTGCTACTGCTTTTTACAGACTCTTGGAGTTCAGATTGCTTGAGTTCATTTAAAATAACAAATTTTGGTGACATAAACTATCCCGTAAGTTCTATTCACTTTTTATACATTAAGAGCCTCTTAAAAGTGTAAATGCTTCGTAGATTTTCACCCATCACTGACATTGTTGTAGTTTCATACTTGGAGTAAATGTTACTGTCACTGTCACTGTCCTCCCATTGTTCATCGATTTGCTCGAGCGGGCACCAGTGACATCTCACAACAAATTGTGAGACTTGTTGTTACTGTGTTTGGCATATCGAATATGTCACGGGGAGCTTGCCAGGCTTTGCTGTGTGGGCGAGATACTCTCAGTAGCTTGCCGGGCTCTCCGAGAGGGGCGGAAGAATCAAACTTACCAACTTTAAAATGCAAAGGTTGAATCTTTTAAAATAATACACATTGAGTCAATTTTCAGCAAGTTCAACATATTTGTCTTTGGCTTTTGCTTTGGGGCTACACCTGTCGCTGCTCGGGGACTACTCCTTTGACAGTGCTCAGTGGACCCTGTGTGGTGCTGGGGATATAAGAGAGACTGGCCGCATGCAAGGGAAGTGTCTTCACCCTGTGCTATCCTTCTGGCCCCCCCAAAATGTGCTTTGGATATAAATTGGGAATATAGTATAATTTGTAGTTATTTAAATGACAGTCATACTGTAAATTAACTCTATTAATGCTTCTAAAAATCATATTTTAGGGGATAGAGAGAGAATACAGTGTTTAAGATGCTTTCCTCTATATAGTGAAACCTGCTTTAATTCCTTGCACCACATGGACCCCTGAGTATTTCCGGGAGTGATCCCTGAACATAGAGTCAAGAGTAAGCCTTGAATGAACACAGACCAGGTGTGGCCCCCCAAATTAAAAAAGAAACACGACCCCAAAACACAAAAGGATATAATTTTATACTAGTAGTATACAGTATAGTATTCTCCAACCCCCCCAATAACTGATGCTTTACTTTGAGATAGGAGAGAAAACCTGCACATAAATGTGAGGTAGATGGTAATAATGGTGAAAAGAGTTCATTTATTTCCAATTACAAGGAGATAGCGGGAAAGCATGTATTTCTCTTGCAGTATGTAGCTTTGAAATTACCCTTTGACTAGTTAAATTTGATTTATATTTTGTGAATCATGAATTTTTACATGTAGTCATAATTTCAATTTTAGTCTGTCTTTTTTTAATTAGATTAAACCTGTGGAATGCAGTGAAGAGGATTTAGTGGATGACAAAGAAAAGAATCGTTGCTTGGTGATTCCGCCTCTGAAGAGAAGAGTGGAAGTTAGTGTTTATGTCTCCTTCTTGTGCGATTTTTCATGACGAGATTCTAAATGAAGGCAAGGATGTTGAAAGACAGGGCCTTACAGAATAAGCAGCAGAGTGGTTGAGGGGGATGGTATTTCAGGGGATCTATACATTAGTACCTCTGCAAGAACAATTATGACATGACTCAGAAATCTGTCATCTAATAGAGCTCAATGCATATTTGTCATTGTTTCTTTCTGGGCCACATCCAGTGGTGTACAGGGTTTACTCCTGGCCCTGCACTCAGAGATCACTCCTAGCTGTGCTCAGGGGACCACACAGGATGCCAGGGATCAAACCCGGGTTGGCCGGATGCGAGGCAAATGCCTACCTGCTCTACTGTGGCTAGATGTTGCTAGACAACGCTAGATGCTTTGCCATCAAAAGTTGTGGTGAGGGCTGGAGCGATAGTACAGCAGGTAGGGTGTTTGCCTTGCACGCAGCCGACCCAGGTTCGATTCCCAGCATCCCATATGGTCCCCTAAGCACCGCCAGGAGCCATTCCTGAGTGCATGAGCCAGGAGTAACCTCTGTACATCGCCGGGTGTGATCCAAAAAGCAAAAAAAAAAAAGTTATGGTGAGAAGCTACTAGAGGTATCTGTAAATTTAACGTGCTTCCTCAGATAAAAATGTAGGGAGCTCTCTTTTCTTTTTGCAGGGGGGATCCCCCAAACAGTTCCTGCTTGGCCCCTGTGTTCCCTGTGATTACCTGGGCTGTCCCATAGTGCCTGGGACCTGCGGGGCTGCCCCCAGCCATGTTCAGGAGGACATATGGTGGCACGATTGAAGTGGGTCAGGCCCTCCCTCGTGATGCGTGGCCCTCCCCACTCTGTACTGTCTCCTGGCCCCAAGGACTCACTTTTGAAAACACATTCTGACCTCTAGGGTCAGCATACCACAGGATGTCTCTTTTTAGTTCTTTTGGTCGGTTTGTTTTGGGGGGCTATACCCCGTAGTACGTGGAGGCTACGCCTCGCTTGGTACTCAGGGGTTACTAACTGTGCTTGCAGACCATGTGAAGCTGGGGATTCCACAAGCCCCACCCCCCCGCATTTGAAGTGTGTTTTCTGTCTCCCTGTCCCTGCAGTAGCCCTCACAGGAGTAGGAAGATTGTTGTGGTTGTGATGTCACTGCCTGCAAACCCGGTTGCATCACCCCCTCTTTAATCACACCCATGGGGACGAAGTATCAAGTGTCCTTCCCACTAGAGGTGTCAATTTCCTTCTGGTATCATTTGCCTTTTTCACTCTACCCTTGGCAGAGGGACAAAGCCACGCGGGTTCCGGGGCCGAGACCTCCAAGCCTACTCAGATTGGGGCCGAGCATCCTACACCCAGATCCTCCAAATTCCAGTAGGCGGGGGTCACACCCACCAACTGGCCCCCTGGCGCCGTGAAATCCCATCAATGGCCAAGACCCAGAGACTATAAAAACCAGCTCCCGGAAGAGAACAGTGCAGTCTCCTGCCCCCGCGCCTGGCTGTCCTCGCCGGGACCCCTTGGAAGGGAGCGGGTTGAGCTTTCCTCCCCACCCTGACCAGGGCTCCGGCAGCTGAAGACATCTTATTATGACATCTTATTATCTCATTCCTACTTTGGACAAACTGGCAGGCTATCGAATGTAGCCTGCCCACACAGCAGAGTCTGGCAAACTCCCCGTGGCGTACCCAATATGCCAAATACCAGTAACAATGATGGGTCTCATTCTCCTAAAGAGCCTTGAATATAATCGCAGGGCTTGGATGAAAGAGACGTTACTGGGGCCTGCTCGAGGCAATCGACGAATACAGGATGATTTGTGATTTTGTGACTCTACCCCTGGATAACTTTATCTCTAAAGGGCAAGACAGCAAATATTTTCCCTTTTCAAACCCTTCAAAACTATACTGCAGAGGCTGGAGCAATAGCACAGCAGTTAGGGTGTTTGCCTTGCATGTGGCCAACCCGGGTTCGACTCCCAGCATCCCATATGGTCCCCCGAGCACCGCCAGGAGTAATTCCTGAGTGCAGAGCCAGGAGTAACCCCTGTGCATCACCGGGCATGACCCAAAAAGGAAAACAAAAAAAAACTGCATTGCAGCTTTTAAAAATAGTGAATTTACTAAATGCCTATTGAACATCTATTAAGTATTGACGTGACTAATAGATTAAAACTTGATAGTGGGCATAAAATCATAAGAGAAAGCTTTTTCATTCTTATGACATTTAGAACTTTGATGCTCTGAACCATGTAAGAGAAATCATGGGAAAAAAACAATTATGCCATGTGACAAAGGATTAATTTCTATAGTACTAAACTGCATTTTTGTTGGCTGGAGGGATAGTACAGTGGGTAGGGCATTGCCTGGCACATGGCTAACCCGGCTTCCATTCCTGTCACCATTTATGTCCCCAGAGTCCTCTAGGAGTGATCCCTGAGTTCAGAACCAGGAGTAAGCCCTGAGCACCACCAGGTGTGGGCCGAAACCGAACAACAGCAACAGTAGCAACCAAAACTTCCCTGCATTTTGACATAGTATTAATGAAAATGTAAAGTAACCCAACCTTCTCAGAGGGAAACTTTTATACTTGTTAAAATTTGAATTGCAATCTTTTTATTTGCACAGTTCCACTGCTAGAAATCTGTTCTAAGGATTTACTTGTACATGTAACAGGCAAACGTGACTTTACTGTTTATATCACTGTCACTGTCATCCTGTTGTTCATCAATTTGCTCGAGTGGGCCCAGCAATGTCTCCATTGTGACACTTGTTATACAGTGTTTGGCATATTGAATATTACATATTATATCACTGGTAGCTTGCCATGCTTTGCCGTGCAGGCAAGATACTCTCGGTAGCTTGCCGGGGTCTCCGAGAGGGGTGGAGGAATCGAACCTGGGTCTGCCAGGTCCTCAACCACAGAAAAAATGAACAGATTTATAAATTATGCCCACGTGATTTTAATTAATGAAAGCATGACTATAAGAAATTACACTTCTGCAATATGTTGTCTAATTTATTTGTACAAATTCCTGATAAGAAGAGCTTAAGGGCCTGAGATATAGTCCAGTAGGCATGGTGCTTACCTTGCATGTGGTCAACCTGGGTTTGATCCCTGCATTCCTTATTGTCCCCGAACCCCCACCAGGAGCGATCCCTAAGCATAGAGCCAGGAGTAAGCTCTGAGCACAGCCAGGTGTGACCACCAAACTTTTGAAAAGGGGAATTGCCTAAAATGATTGTTGGAACATTTTTCAAATCTTAAAAGTTTCAAAAGTCTGGGGCTGGAGCAATAGCACAGCGGGTAGGGTGTTTGCCTTGCACACAGCCAACCCAAGTTCGATTCCCAGCATCCCATATGGTCCCCCCGAGCACCGCCAGGAGTGGTTCCTGAGTGTATGAACTAGGAATAACTCCTGTGCATTGCTGGATGTGACCCAAAAATCCAAAAAAAAAAGCTTCAAGAAGTCTGGTATTAAGAACAAATGAGGAAGGAGAAGGATAGACCTAGAAAAACTGTACTCATTTATATTATATAAAATAACATAGTATGAGACTAACACCCAAGGACAGGAGAAACAAGGGCCAGGAGGATTGGTCCACAGTTGGAAGCCTGCCTAAGTGCTGGGGGATAGGGCAGTTGGGATAGAGAAAGGACCACTCTGACAATGATGGTTAGAATGGATCTCACTGAGAGGGAAGTGTGTGCTGAGAGTGGGTAAAGGACCAAACATGATCGCCTCTCAGTATCTGTATTTCAGACCATAATGCCCAAAGTGGAGCGAGTAAGAAGAAAAGTGCCTACCATAGAGGCAGGAGGTGGGGGTGAGGGTGGCAGGAAGTTGGTATTGGGAAATGGACACTGGTGGAGGGATGGGTTATAGAACACTGTATGACTGAAACCTGGTCATGAAAGCTTTGTCACTGCATCTCACGGTGATTTAACAACAAAAAAAAAATTTTAAAAAAGAAAAACTGATCAAGCAGCATCCAAAAATTGGAGTCCAGAGAGAAAAGGACAGAAGCCGGGTGCAGCCTTCCCCTCAGAGCATGTGTATTTTTTACCTCAAGCAGCCCTGTCCAGCCAGAAACAAATTTTTCTCCTGAGCTACAAATTCATCTTTGGCCTCTTCAAAATCTTCTCAGTAAGTGGGGTCAGCGAGATTGTCCAACCCCTGGCACCACATATAATAATCCCCGACCCCTCTTCGGAGTGCTCCCTGAGTGGAGTGCTAGGAGGAAACCACGAATAACAGTGGGGACAGCTCAACCCTTCCCCCTCACTCAAACAGAGGGAGTAAGTGTAGACTCCCACGGCTTTGCACCCGAGCAAGCACGTGGAGCAGCGGAAAGATAAGTGACTCCCAGAGCTGGCTTTAGAATCCTTTCATTGCTCCCCTGCACATACATCCTTTCTGTCCCCAGCCCGGGGAAGTGGGGAGAACAGGAGCTGGAGCATGTGCGCATGCGCAGGGCTGCAGGCCCGCCAGCAAGGCAACGGAAACGTGAGTCTGGTAGGCATCCTAGCCACGAAAGATGCCAGCTACAACTACTCGCTTCTCTAAAATGTCTTGCGGGACTGGAGCAATAGCACAGCGGGTAGGGCGTTTGCCTTGCATGCGGTCGACCCGGGTTCGATTCCCAGCATCTCATATTGGTCTCCCGAGCACCGCCAGGAGTGATTCCTGAGTGCAAAGCCAGGAGTAATCCCTGAGCATCGTGGGGTGTGACCCAAAAAGCAAAAATTAAATTAAATTAAATTAAACGGCTTGCACACAGAACGCTTAGCCAGAAGCCTAAGGCACACGTCGAAAAGCATTCTCAGTCGTTTATGTACAACGGTGGTGAGTTTGGGAGGCAGACAAGGCAGTCTCCTTGAGGGGCAGGCAAGTGGAGCCTGACTCTACTATTACTCTGCACACCCCTGCTGAGTAATAGTAACAAGCTCCTCTACAGGTCGGATTGAGTTTGCAAGAGAAAGAATGAGAACTTCTCTGCGGTATGCACCTGTTTTGGTTTTGTTTGCAGGAAGAAGAGAGAAAACACATACACTGAAAAATTCTGGAAAATGAAACACATGGGATTGAGGGTCAAGGAAGGGAAGGGAAGAAGCACCCTTTGGGACATTGTTTTTGAGAAACACCCTGCAGTGCTTAGGGTGCTTAGGGTTAATTCTGCCTCCCCGCTCAGGGATTACTTCTGGTTGGCCTCTGAGTCCATAGGGGATGCCAGGAATCTAATCCAGGGCGGGCAAGGCAAGTGTCCTACCTGCTATACTATCCCTCTGGCCTGGAAGAAATCCTTTCATATGCTTATTTGGGGGGTGGGGGTTTCATAATAAAATTGCTCGGTATAGAATATTTAAGTGGCCTACTGATTCATACTTTAGACTTGGCACTTGGGCACTTGCGGGGGGCAAAGGCTATACAGGAGTCCCCTGGACGAAAGAAGGGACAGAAATTATTCCTTTTCACTCTCCCCTCATATTCCATTTACCGTCTCTCTAATGCTCAGCACGCTCCTGTTTAGTTTCTCACCCTGATGGATACATCCCAAAGCTTCAGTGGCTCCTTTGCCAAAGGGGTACTGGAGGAAATGATGTGGCGCCCACAGAACTAGGTCAACAGATGAAGGTTCAAAATATTGCCTAGACACTTTACATGCGTTATGCAATGAGGGAATCTATAATTCATCTCCACTCCCCAAGTTGTATTCATTGATAAAAGCAAAAGATGTTGCCTGCCTTCAAATGGAATCTAAAAGAAAGAAATCCAAAACTCGGCTGCATTTTCTTTCATAATCGCGAGAAATCATGTTATATTAAAAGCTGTATTAATATTAAACAGTCTCCGATATCCATCTGAAATGAAATAGCTTCAGTTCAATGATGCAACTCGTTAAACTTTCAGTAGCAAATATATTTCATAAATGTTTCATCCTTAGTACTGAAATCTGTTTATCTGGCATAATAAAAGAAACAGATCGCTCCCTATCCAAGTAAGAGCGGACCCCCCCCACCACGCCCACCTTGTTTTGTTGTTCTGTAAGGAATTAACTCTGACGCTGAGTTTATTGGCACAGAAGAAACGAAAGACAGTTTGCAGCCTGTCATGTGTTTTCTTTAATTTTTTTCTATAATAGATTGTATGAATGAGGCTTTCAAAGCGCATCAAAGTATAAGTGACCATTTCTTGTCATGGTTGCCTTTGCTTTTGTGGATGCTCTGTTTTTGAAGCAGAAATTACTTCACCCACCAGAAAATCAGTTTTGTGTTGGCAAGCGTTGATTTGTATTCATATTCATCGGACTTTTCATATTCATATTGATTACTTAATTCAGTGGTGAAACAGATGCTAATGCCTTGCCATTTGCTCAATTTGAAACTTAAATTCTATTGCAGTTATTTGCTGTGCCATTTTCCTGTGGAAGAAATAAATTTGCATATTTTGAGAACTAGAGACTTAAAATTGATCAGTAAAACAGTTTGCTTTAAGATAGATTCTCTGCTTTTCTGTAGGAAAATAAATTAATAAGCAACGTGGGAGAGAGTATTTCCTGAATTAGTGGCATGGCAAATTTCATCTTCAATGATCTTTCTTTAAATTTTACAGATTGGTTTGACTTATATTCAGGACTGGAAACAGCATCTCTTGTTGAAGGAGAAATTTATTTCAAAATATTGCGAAACTTTCATAAACATCATTCAAGGCAAAGATGATTGTACTTCAAGTACAGAGGAGGTAAAATTAACCCCGCAACTTTTAGAAATTGAAAATCTACAAGCTATTGAAGCGTTATTTAAATCGGAATACTGAAATACACGGTAAAATGCTGTTCAATAGATCAGGAAGAAAAGTGGCAGGGAGAATAACAATGGGCTTTTAAGACATTGAAAATATTTAATTAAGGAGCCAATATTTTGCCAATTTGTCAGTTACTCTTATTCATAAGATATTAAAATCTCGGTTATTAAGGACCTTGGGCAATGAATTCTTTTGTTTAAAAAGATTTAAACTATTGAACTTTCATTTGCATAGTTGAATAGAAATTCTTAGTGCACTATATATTTCTGTCTCCTTAAACAAAATACTAAGCATTATTTGATCTCATGTTGATGATGGCCTAATTTTACCGCTGTAATAATTGTACGTTTAGTCCATAATATAGAAAGTTAGCAAAAACTGCTGTGACTTCATAAAAAATAGTACTTATGCCTGTTAGTTTCCATGCATAGAAAGACACGGCAAGGCAAAATAATAGATAAAGCTGGACATGGAGAAACCTAGTTGCCTTTTAATTCCTCAAATCCCTTTAGTGCAGAGCTTAGATTTACTTGCCTTGACCTTGATTCTGGTAATGGTCTGTGCTTTGCTTTTGTGTTTCTGTCTCTTTGTTTGGTTTGGGAGCTTCACTCTCCAGACTTATTCCTGCCTCTGCACTCAGGCATCACTGCTGGTGGGTCTCAGGGTGTCCGGGATGGAACCGAGATCAGCTGCATGCAAGGCTAATTCCCTGCTCCTTGTACTATCTTTCTGCCCCTCCCCCTGTGTTTCCATCTTTACAAGATGAGGATTTGGGTCCCCACTCGATCTCTGTTAATATTAGAAACTTAACAGACGCACATCATGTGCTGTTTCTGCATCACTGTTCAAATTGGGGGCGGGAGGGTGGGGGGAATTTCTGAAGACTCTGTTTAAAATCGTGTTTCCCTTCACTTCTTTGCCTCAACAATTTTGCCAGAAAGGGGGAAGAAATCTTTAGAAATTAATGCATCGAAGCAACTGTGTGCCAGGCCCAATTTTGAGCCCTGTCTGGGATTCTTCTGTCTGAATTTTTCAGGGATTCAGAAGCTTACCGCATAGGGGGCATGGGGACACCAGGACAGTGGTGGAGGAAGCAGACACTCTGGTGGAGGATGAGGTGCTAGAATGTTCTGTGGAGAAAACGGGACCACTAGCAGTTTTATAAGCCACACACATAAAAATTAAAAAAATAAAACCAACCCTGGCAGACGGTCAAGATTATGCAGATTTTGGATAAATAGCCCACCTCCTTTCTCATGGCCCTGCCCAGGAGCATCTGGTACCTAGTGACATGTTTTGTCTCCTGTCAAATAACTGCACTGCACTGTCCTCCCATTGTTCATCGATTTGCTTGAGCAGGCACCAGTAACATCTCCATTGTGAGGCTTGTTATTACTGTTTTTGGCATATCGAATACGTCATGGGGAGCTCGCCAGGCTCTGCCATGCGGGTAGGATACTCTCAGTAGCTTGCCAGCCTCTCCAAGAGGGATGGAGGAATCGAACCCAGGTTGGCTACATGCAAGGTGAATGCCCTACCCACTGTGCTGTTGCTCCAGCCCATCAAATAACTATACAGATCTTTTCTTGGTAGCTGCCACCTACAAGGATGGTAGAGCCCCTGGGCTCTGGAAGCTGACTGCCTTGCACCTGTGTGACCTTGGGCAAAATCTTCACCCTCCCTGTGCTTAGCTTTCCTGAGCTGGAGATGGTCGCTAATCATTCACTGGTGCCTCTTGACATTTAACTGAACATCTCCCCTGGCCTGCCCCACCTTCGTACCCTGGTCTTTATGTCTCATTCTGTGGCTCCCTCCCCAGTTATGTGATTTTCTCACCTGTGTCCCCGGGGAACACCACGGGGACCCCAGAGGGGACCATCCGAGCCTCAGTAGAGAAGTGCTGCTGTAAACCAAGAGTACGAGGGTTATTATGAAGGTCAAACAAATGGATGCATGAATGGGACTGAGAATAAGTGTTGCCGGCCCAGGGGAAACATCCAGTAAGGTTGTATATTATTATCATTCACCTCTGACTACTATTTCTGTGATTATAAATCCATACTTGCATAATAATGAGTGAGGATGTGCTGGACTTCAAGAATAAAACCTTAGCAGAAAAAAAATCCTCCACCCAAAGATAATCTAGATAATTCATACAAAAGTTTATTGCTGCGGGCTTAGTACAAATCATGGATAAAATAAAGATTGATTCTCAGCACACCTGAGACACGTATTTTCAAAGTATTTGTTAAACTGGACTCCAGGATTCTGCCCCTCGTGTCTCTGTGCTGGACACACCATCTTGATCCTAATCGTCCGTGCTGCTTTGGAGTAAGCAGTCAGTTAGATATTTTTTGTGCATTTTCTTTTAGCAAATTAGATGCAGTGTATAAAAGATGCATTTTAGAATACAGTTTAAAATGTTATGCCGTAAAGTCTAGCCCCAAATTGATTCACATTATATATAATCTCTGATTTACATTATATATATTCTCAGCTTTGCTGCATGTGATATATTTTGGTAATCTGTTATTTAAACGTGTTTTTCTATGAGGAATGCCTTGTTACTCTGTGTGGTGAAGAAGAAACTTCTGTCTGTGCCTTTGACGAAAAATTGCCAGCAGGCAATTTTCAACTTTCAGAGGCGATAGTAGAGAAGATATGGTATCGAGTTATAGATGATAGCTTGGTTGTTGGAGTGAAAACCACATCTTCACTGCTGTAAGTAAATACTAACCGAATATCTCGTTGCTCAGAATTGTGCCATCCAACACAAGTCGGAGGCAATTTTAAATATTCTAATTGCCATTTTCTATAAAGAAAAATAGGAGAAATTAATGTTATTTTTATGTCCAAGACATTATTGAGGGATAGGCAATATTCTCTCTGAAAAAGCAGAATTAATTTCAAGTCATGGAATGAATAGAAAATCCAGTTTTTACTTAGAGTAAAATATAATGTTTCATAGAATTAGAAATTGCATTTTTTTGAAATAAGTCATAAAAATAATTTTCTCTTTGTTTTACCTAGATACTATTCTACCTCCGCTGCTACCAGTTTTTATCTTCTTATTTTTCTTCAAAACTAGACTATTATTTTATTGGTCAAGTTTTATTGAAGCAGAAAATAGTCACTTTGGTAGCCCCAGTCAATTTTTAAAAATGCATATTTTTGTTTTGCTCAAATAAAGTCTGTAAGAAGGGAGGTAAAACTTTGATTTGGTCTAATAATAGATTTTTTTCTATTTAAAATTTTTCACTGTATCACTGTATCACTGTCATTCTGTTGTTTGTCGATTTACTCGAGCGGGAGCCAGTAACGTCTCTGTTCCTCCCAGCCCGTTAGCAGCCTCTTCTTACTCGTCTTTTCCCAACGATTGGAGGCTCTTTCAGGGTCAGTGGAATGAGACCTGTTGTCGTTACTGTATTTGGCATATCAAATACGCCATGGGGAGCTTGCCAGGCTCTTCCCATGCAGGCAGGATACTCTCGGTAGCTTGCCAGGCTCTCCGAGAGGCATATATTTATATATTTCTCTCTATGATTTGTTGCCTACTATCTGAACCCCATGAGGTATGGTGAAGTAATTCTGGAAAATGGGTAGAAAGTGTCTTATAATGAAGCGGCCATGCGGTCTGGAAAGCGGCCTGGAGTGTGGTGGTGGTTGGGTAGTGGAGGTTGGCTGCTGGGGCTGGGTCCTTTGGGGTGGGGAGGGTGACCTCCCCACAGCCTGATGCGGAATCTGGTGGCATGGAAAATTAGTAATGGAACCATGCCATTATATTAATAATGCTATTACTAATATAAACTCTTAAAACTAGGTAAGTTTTTCCTTGTTTAAAAAGACATGGTGGGAGGGCTGGAGCGATAACACAGCGGGTAGGGCGTTTGCCTTGCACGTGGCTGACCCGGGTTCGATTCCCAGCATCCCATATGGTCCTCCGAGCACTGCCAGGAGTAATTCATGAGTGCATGAGCTAGGAGGAACCCCTGTGCATGGCTGGGTGGGACCCACAAAGAAAAAAAGAAAAAGTAGTAGGACTGGTTGAAAGGACCAGAGCTCTTTGCATGACTTATCAGATCCCTGACTACAAGTCACAGCACTGATGGTCTGCTGGAGTCCACAAGGAGCACTCCTCTGAGCACTGAGCTGGGAGTACTTCCCAAGTACTGCTGGATATTGACCCCAAAACCAACGATGGAGAGATAAGATAGCAGGTTGGGTGCTTGCCTTTCACACAGCCAACCGGGGTTCAATCTCTGGCTCCCCATGTGCTTCCCCGAGATTTCCTGAGCACTACCAGGTGTGGGCCAATACCTCAGAGAAAGGGTAGAAACCCTAACTCAAACATAAAATCTGGGGTCAGGAGATAGATCAATGGGCTAGGTACATGCCTTGCATGTAGGAGACCCTGGTTTTGTCCCTGTACCACCTGTCCCAAGCATGCTGAGGTTTTTGGCCTGGACACCAAAACCTATATACATAAAACCCAGCCAATATTTTCCATTTCTTCCTCTCTAAAAGATCGGCTTTCCTAAAGACTAACATATTTGCCATTATGTCGCTTTCCTAGTTCAAGAGAAATGGTATTAATGGGATTTTTTAAAAAATATGTTCAATGTTGATGCTTAATTTTTAATTACTTTGATGCTTGATTTGCTGTTGTTTATATGTCATTTAATCATCTGTTTTATGGTCTTTCTCAGGAGTGACCTTGCTCGTGCCTGGAATGCACCTGCTAGCCACCTCCTTAGTCTATTTTGATTTTAAAGACTAACCTGAATGTTGGGGGGTTTTTACAGGTCTGAAAATCATGTGACTTTATCACTGTTAATGGCTCCAAGCGATTGCTCCAACCTTCAGCCCATTACGTGTCAGAACAAGGTGATCCAGCTGCGGAGATGCTCTTTGCCGGCTCCCGTCTGTATGCCGTATGCCACAGGGTCCGGGACAAAGAGGATCAAGTTGGCTGGTGCTGAGGCAGGCGATGGCGTCCTCCACAGCCAGCCCTCCGGGACAGAGCACACCTGCATGGTCACTGCTGTGACATCTCTCCCACCACTTTTAAGATTCGGGAACTTCTGTTGCCTCGTTCTGCTCCAGTGTAGCAGAGACAGAGAACATGGGCCGCATTCTGAAGAGGCTTCCCTTCAGTGCGGCAGGATATCTGTAAGGCTAGAAGAGCTTTCAAGCGGGAAATCCCTAGTGACGTTTCCAAAGACAGAAACTTTAGGTAAGTTTTGTTGGGGACTTTTTACTCAACGTGGAACATGGCTAGGGGAATGAGAAGGTAATGCACCTTTAATTGGGCTGGGCTTTTTATGATTTCCCTATTCTGAATGCTGCAGGCTTTGAATTTAAATAAAAAGGGGAAGATGTGGAGCATGGCAACAGGCACCAGAGCAGATAGATCTGTCCCTGTATAGCAGATAAGGCCTGTCCCTAGAGAGTGACCCATTAGGGAGTGTCTGGGAGCTTTTTACAAGCACCTGGTGTCCAGCCTTGAGTCTCATCCAACCCCCAAGAATTGTCACCTAACTGCAGCATCTAGCCCTAAAAGGTATTGGGTCGGGCCAAAGCAGAGTTGGAAAGGTGATAGGTCAGTGATGCCAAGCTTTGTGTGATTGGACCGTCCTCTTAAGCTGAGACCCCCGATGTATTTGGCAATAAAGTGAGCTGTGTCCCGGAGTGGTTTCTCCACGCACCAGTCATCGTTTGCCCCAGGTCTGCCCGGACAACGTGTCTGGGTACATTGGGGAAAAACTTCCCCAACTACTCATACGCCTATTTTAGCCATAACGTTCTAAGAACTTCAATAGTGGGTCAAGTTCAACAACAGAGTGGGTGACTTGGTTCTCTTGCAGAACATGTGGAAGATCTCTTTGCACTTCTTGCGGCCTTTCACAAAAATTGCTTCCAAATCACATCGCCTACCTATGCGCTGACTTCAATGACGCCCTGGCTTTCGGAACACATGCAATGTGAAGTGTTCACAGAATTTCCCGAAATTTGGTTTTGCAAAAGGCCAGGAGGTTTCTATGGGACACTCTTCAAATGGAAACAAACAACACCGTTTGAAGGGATTTTATTAGTCTACTACAGGTAATGCACATCAAGTTAGAATTGGTCCAGAGAATTCCATGTGTATATGTGTGGTGTACAAGTGGTCGAATTGCAATCCTCATAGTGGAGTTCAGTGCCATCATGGGACATATTCTGGTCACCGCCTGGTATACTACAGATGGACAGATGGCTTCATCTGGAAACTAAAGATCTGTTTTAATTTTTAACTGCTTTTGGCTTTTTATGGCTTGAGCAGGGCCAGATAAATACTTGAAGATTTCCTCTTGGGGCCAGAGAGATAATTGCAGCAAGTAGAGCACTTGCCTTGCATGCAGCTGACCTAAGTTTGATCCCCGGAACAATTATGATCCCCTAAACCTGCCAGGAGTGTTCCTTGAGTGCAGAGCCAGGAGTAAGCCTTGAGCAGTGTTTACTCCTCTTATCTCTTCCTCACAACAAGTCTAAAAATATAGTATTGATCTTGTTCTACAGAAATTCAGCAAACAGCCTGGTTAATACTGCAGTGCTGGGGATCAAATCCAGATCTCAAGGCATGTACTTTATCATGGAGCCACATCCATGGCATCCTGCGTAGTTAATATTAAGTAATATCGTAGAGGATGTGTGTCTCCAACTGCTATAGTCTGAATTTCATCAGTGGTAAGACACATGCAATGTTAGTTCTGCTTATTATAGAATGTTTTAATAAACAATAATTGATGACTGCAGTATCCTGTGTATCTGTATCACCACTTAGCACTATCCTAATTTTTATAATACTGTATTTGGTGTTTTGTCCTAGGAATCAAACCGTTTTGTTCCAGTGCCTTCATGAGCTCACCACAGCTCTCCCTGTAAATGGTTTCATCAAAAATCTAAAATCAGAACGAGAGGATCTCCTAATTGGTGAATTGGCACGCAGTCTGGAGAAGGAGCTTGTTACCCTGAGTACTCTTTCCTCTCCCATAGCTGAAAACATAAATGAAAACGCCTGGGTGCCCAGTGACAAAGCAAGTGAAGGAACAAGTAGTGACAGTACATCAGTGTTATCAAAGGAAGACATCCATCTGATTAGAAAAGAACTTGAGAGAAAAAAGCAGCAAACCATGGCAATGGGTGAAAAAGTGAGTGGTGCCCTCTACAGAGAAAAGACTTTGAAATTAACTGAGATCCAGCTAAACTCAGACCTTATTGTGCAGAAACTGAGCGATTTATAGTTAGAATCGCAGTTAATCTGATTATCTCTAAAATTTGGTTTTTCCTTGTTTGATGTTTGGTTTCATCTGTTTTCATTTTATATCCTGTTGCCTACTTTATAAAAGTAAAGATGGAGACAATGATCCACAAAATAACGTTCCTAGACCGGTGGTTCCATGGGGCTGGGCAGGGGTAGAGGTGTCATTTTGACACCCTGAGATATTCGGCATGTCTGAAGACATTCCTTTTTAGTTCTCAGAATAAGCAGAAGTTGGGAAAGGGAGGTTGGGGGCTAAATGGATCTAGTTGGAGACATGGACTACTGCTTAACATCCCTGTGTTCTGAACAGCCCCCCAAATATGCAGCGATCAGTTCCAAAGGTCAGTTAGGCTGACTTTAGAGTTGTCACCAAGTGAAGATGGAAGTGATGTGACAGTAGTTTAGTCAAAGGCTAAGAATGAAAAATCTAAGAGGGCTGGAGTGATAGCACAGTGGGTAGGGCATCTGCCTTGCATGCGGCTGACCCGGGTTTGATTCCCAGCATCCCATATGGTCCCCTGAGCACCGCCAGGAGAGATTCCTGAGTGCATGAGCCAGGAGTAATACCTGTGCAATGCTGGGTGTGACCCAAAAAGCAAAAAAAAAAGAAGAAGAAACAAAAAACATAAGAGAAGCCAGAGAGATAGCACAGTGGGAGGGTGTTTGCCTTGCACATGGCCAACCCGAGTTTGATCCCTCCACCCTATATGGTCTGCCAGCCCACCAGGAGTGATACCTGAGTGCAGAGCCAGGAGTAAGCCCTGAGCTTCACAGTGACCCCAAATCAAAACAAAACAAAAAATTGAACAGTGCTTTTCTTGTATCCTTCTTAGTAAAAAACCAAGTATGTAAAAATCAGCTTCCAACAGCTAAATTAAACAAAGGTTGTCAAGCTTCAGAGGTTTATGTAAACATGAAGCTCCTGGGAAATTTAAGCGCTGAATGTTTGGGTGAGACCTTGAAAGTGAAAGTGTTTGAAAAGCTTGTTTCATTAAACGTTAGTTGAAAGTTTCTCAGAAATTGTGGATATCTATAGGAACGTGCAAATTTCAGGGCATTTCTCTGAAAAGCATCTCTTTCAAAAGTCTCAGCATACCTTTCAGGCCATTGTTCAGGAAAAAACAAAACAAAACAAGTAAAAAGCCATTGAAATTCCATAAGGCAAAACTAAAATGCAAAATTCTAGCTAAAGTAGCATAAAGAACCCAGTGCTCTACAGGGACTGAGTAGTATGAAAACACGTGAATATTCGCGTCAGGTCATCAGTGAATTTTTGGGTGGGCGGAGTCTTCTGAGTGGTACTCAGGAAGGGGGTGACACGACCCCACTGGCAATTCTCTGCCAACCAGAGGAGTGTTTCAATGCCTGGGCCGGAGGAAGACATGCTGCTCCAGTCCTGAAGCACAAGAAATTATCTGGGTCACTGTAGCGATGTTTGGGTACCTGGTGGTGCTGAGAATTGAACCAGGGACAGCCACATGCAAGGCAGGTGCCTTCAAAGCCCTGCTCTATCTTTCCTACTACTTTAGAAGTGATTTTTTTAAAGGGGTTCAGTGAGAACATTTCCAGAGTGGAATAAAATCTCAGCCTACTGTCTCAGAAGAATAAGATTTCTGGGGTAATAAGAGAATGGGGAAGGAAGAAGAAACAGAAGAAAGGATAAGGTCCAAAAGGAAATTTTCTGATTCTTTTTGCTCTGACATCTTTAAGTGAGATGGAAGCTTCCATCTCTGCTGCCAGAGTAAGGATGATGATCTGTTATAGAAAGTGGCATTTCATGCTTGCTGCTATGAAGTGCTAATCCCAGCCCCCAGCTGCCTTCTGTGTCCTTGGAGCTAACGATCTGGTATTGCAAATGGATTATAGAAAATGTAGGTTATTATTTTCTTGGCTCATCTTTTATGATTATTCATATAATACGCCTCCTTTTTTTTAAGGAATTCCTTGCAAATTGAGATAAAACTCTGTAACTCTATTTTAATAAAATGTCAATCGAAAATATTTCAGACTTTCTGGAAAGCAAACAATTTCTGGATTAACTGGAGTCTGGAAGCACTGTAGATCTATGTACTAGCTGTTGAAGCTGCCCGTGACATGCTTTGAAAGAAAACCATGTATATATAATAATAGGAGCTTCTAAGTATAAATGGAACATTATTGAAATAGTTTGAGAATGTTAGGATAATAAAAATAGCATCCTGAGGGCCAGAGTGAAAGTGTGATGGGTAGGGCACCTGCCTTACACATGACTGGCTCAGATTCAATTCCCAACACCCCATATGGTCCCCCGAGCCCTGCCCCGAGTGATCCCTGAGCACAGAACCAGTAGTAATCGCTGATCACCAACAGGGTGGCCCAAGAACTACAAAATAAATAAATAAAAGACATGCTTCTGTTTTTATAAAAGCAAGTCAGGGTAGGGAGCAATAGTATAACAGATCAGGTGCTTGCCTTGTATACAACTAGCCCAGCTCTGATCCCTGGTACCTCATAGCACACCAGGAGTGATCTCTGGTACCTCAAGTCCACCAGGAGTGATGCCTGAAGTGCAGAGCCAGAGTCAGTCCTGAACACCAAAGAGTGTGATCCCAAAACAACAAAAACGAAAGAGCAATTCAGGTGTATTCATCTATGGTGACAACTAATCTCTTTCCAGGTCCAGTCTTTTTTGAGGGGTTGAGTCGAGCATACCTCCATGTGTTTGGGGGTTACTCCTGGTGGTACTGGGCAGTATGTGGTACCTGGGGATCTGGTTGCAAAGTCTTTGCCCCACTTTGTAGAATGCCCTCTCCATCTCTCGCAATCTATTCTTTCCAGCTGCTGCAAACCGGAAAGTGCGAGTTTTAAGACACGCTGTTCTCACCCCTCTCTCATGAGTCAGTTCCCTGCCTGCCTCTGTTAGCATATTTCTCTTGTCACCGCCCTTGTCATAAATATGGGGCTCTGGGAAACCATGATCCCCACCATATCCACCCTGTTAAGTGAAAATGAGTTTCACTGGGGGCCAGACCCCTTAACTAAGGACAGTGCATAGTGCCACTTTGGCGAGGTGATCAGGTTTAAAACAGGAAAACGGGCTGGAGCGATAGCACAGCAGGTAGAGCGTTTGCCTTGCATGTGGATGACCCGGGTTCGATTCCCAGCATCCCATATGGTTCCCTGAGCACCGCCAGGAGTAATTCCTGAGTGCAAGAGCCAGGAGTAACCCCTGTGCATCACTGGGTATGTCCCAAAAAGCAAATAAAATAAAACAGGAAAACATATTTCTTGGCTCTCAGCTCTGAAACGCATACATGCACAACTACACATTCATATCCATTTCCACACATATTCATTCATAAGGTTTAATTCTTTCCAGCAACCTATGGAGTATAATTATTATTGCTGTCCCCAATGTGAACAAAAGCATTAAACCAAATTAAAGGGATCCATGAAAACAGCTGTTTTCAACATCAGCAGGCCCTTTAAGAATCTAAAATCCAGTGAGTTTTTGTTATCCTTATGTCATAATCTTTCTTCTTTGGAATTGACAAGTCACTTTTCCCCTACCCTCAGAAAGGCAAAGATCTAATTAACTTACTTTCTCCCTGCCCTCCCCAATAAAAGCAGAGGTTTTCATTTTTCTAGGCTGGGAACCCCTGTAAAACTTTGTTTTCATTACGCCTAAGATCTGGACAGTAACCACAAGATGAGAGCCAACCTTTTTCTTCCTTGTACTCAAAATTTTGAAAGCATTTCCTTCCCTTCAAATCAGACCTTTCTTGGCTAAACCCTTGAGTGTTTTATTGCTAAAGATTGGCTAGCACAACGGAAACAGACTGATCCGGAAACTGTGTTCTCGTGGAAGGCTTTAGGGCTTTGTTCTGTGGGCCCTTTCCACAGATGCGCCCTGTCCTATAACTCCTTCTGCCTGGATCATCTTCACAGCGCTAATGGTCTGGCCACTTGGGAGGACCTCTTGGACCGAGAAGAGTTGACTTTTGGGTGAGGATCAGACTCTTCCTCCCCATCCTGCTGAAAGGAGGGACCCTAAATCTTAAGTGTGGGACTTAACAGCCAGTCACAAATTCCAAGACCTTAGAATGAAGGTAAAACTGCCCTGCCAAAGTGTTCTGAGTCGCCACTGACACAGACGTCAACCCCAGCCTCCCCTGGGACCACCTGTTCCTTCGGAGTCAGACTCCCTAGTAATAGACATCAAGGTGTCAACGCCACTGCTGACTGCTCCAAATGGGACAGATCAAGATTCGCTGTTGGACCCGTAGCATCCCGGCGCAGAAAGGAATGTTTTCCTTGCAGAAGCCCCAGTCCCGAAATGCACCTTCCCTTTCTGGGTAATACTTACTAGGCTGTTGCCCTTTTAGTTTCCAATTCAAATTAGTTCATACTAGAGATTGACTTTTTCATAAAAAATATTTTTGTTGTTTGTTTGGAGGCTACACCTGGTGGTGCTCAGGGCTTACTCCTGGCTCTTTGCTTAGGGATCACTCCTAGTGGGCTTGGGGACCATATGGGATACCGGGGAAAAAAGCATGCAGGGCAAGTGCCCTGCCCTCTGTATTATTACTCCAACCCTAACTCTTTCATATATTTTATTCTTTATCTGCTTTTCTCTGTTCCTTAGCTTCCCTCTTGCATTACACCAGGTCACTTGTTTACTTATGGGTTAAAGGTAAATACCAGATTATTTCATTTAATGGTTTTCAGCTGCTTGTTCACGTGTGCGGAAAGGTTGAAAACTGCTGATTTAACCTACTTCTCCATATTTTCTGCTTCAGAATGCAAAATTAGTAGGACCGTACCTAACATGTTTCTGAGCTATCAGAAAAATTCAGTCATTCAGTTCCCTTTGCCCCTGACAACTGTTCTCATCTTCTCCCTTGTATCCTCTTTAGCAGGAAGAGGGTGAAGTCTAGCAGCGTTGATGACTCTTGGAGTTTGGGTCAGGAAAGAGGGATTCATAATAAAGGGCCTGTTTTGAAAACAATAGTATTGTACATCACAAGCAGTGCACAGCA